AACGTCTACAGTGATACTTGCAAGGATGAGGCACATTCACTGAAGGTTGATAGCAAGCTCCGGCGATGACGTCTTATTTCCATGGCTTGCGATGGCCTCGCAAGAATGCTCCCGCCGCCTGGGACAACACAAGAGGAATGATGTACTGGCGTGTCTAGTTCCAAAAGTGGCCTTCAGCATGTAATGCTCATCATGGTCAAGCTTCAGTGGGGTTCTTCCCCAAATCTATCTGCCCAGCTGCCAAGACAGCTGGAACGTCGACATCCGGCGGCGCTAACAAGCTGCTCCAAGTGTTGATCTTGCACCCTGGATCCGCTTCGGCCAACCTTGTCATGCCCTCCGACAAATGAGATCTGGACCCTGGCCTAGGATCGCTTCGCTGCCAGCTCGGTTCCGATGCCTAGCTTTGGCGATCTCTAAATTTCGGGACCTGTAGGCTCCAAAGTGAAAAGTCACCAGCATGATTTGAATGACATCAATCAATTTCGTCCGACGGTATAAGCATTACTGAGCACTCCCCAGTCCTTGATCACCATGGTCTGACACTGGTGAACAAGACAGACACACACCGCTCTCCTGTGGCTTCAAACTCAGCCTGGGAACAATGCAGCTCTCCCGCATATCGGAGCTGGTCAAGGTGTTTAGCAACTGAGACCGTTTGCGGTCTGCGAGTGCAACAGCAGTAAACCAGCTGCAGCAAAAGCAGCAAACGCACGGTTGCGGCAACGCCTAGCTTCCAGCTGGTGACTACCCAGCCAACTGGGCGACCAACTGCAAAGATGCTCGCGCTCGCAGGGGCCAACAACCACTAGTCGATACCGCTCTTTTCTTTGGTTGGACTTGGCTTGACGCCATCGCAGCACGTTCCCTCGCGTCTGCTCCTCAGCCTAGACAAACGGATGTTGCTAGTCTCACATGGCCTGCAGCTATCTAACACTTGTGGTCAGGATGATCTCAATAGTCATGGCATATAATCGACCCTCTGCCACTTGCTCGCGTCGCCATGTGAATACTTTGCTGTGACTGAAAGGAGACGCTTAGAACTAAAATCTGGCATACTGGAAATGCCGATACAGCGTCCCCAAGTTATCCTGCAGCCAGCCATGTACACGAATGCCGTATCGACCTGATCACTACGAAACACAGCCGCACGCAATATTTACGCAGATCTCCACAGGGGCCTTGCATACTCACGCACATCGTCATTGGCTTTCGGCGATCAACACAAGCAGATATTCGGGCTGGGCGCTTTCGGACCACTCCTTGCCCGTGGAATCTGGGCTACGCCTCAGCTTACCACCCACACCTTGCCAGCTCGCCCTGGCACCCAGTCGGCCGCTCCCCTAGCTAGGTGCTTGATTCCATTATAGAGCCAGCAGCTCCTGCACCAAGCGGAGCGACTCTTGTCGAGATGGACCCTCCTCCTGAGTATCGATTTTCATTACCTCCATATTGCATGGCCAACCGCACATATCGAACAACGAGAACTGGGGACGTCATGGATGAACGTCTGCCTGGAAACAGCAACGTGAAGCGGTGGGACGGCGCTGCACGGGCATGCGCCGATTGGGATAGCCTCCGTCGTGTAAGTGAACCATGCTTCCAGAATCAACCACGCAGTTACGAAATGTCAAAAAACTGATCAAACCAATAATAGGATCCCGAACTGTGGTTTCGAGGTGGGAATTGCTTCGTTCACCTCTATGGAAAGGGCCAGTCTCGACGCGGCCCAGCATTCAAGGTGCCGTTTGGTGGCTTGCTGTCGGCCAAATGCCACCCGTTGATCCAAAGATTCATCGCGCGCGACATGCCTGAGTCGCCCGGATCTCTCTTTGACCCGTACGATGACCTTGATCAATGGCATTATCTGAACCCTACCCGCAAAGTTGATCTCTACATTCCAGCACCGCCTGCAGCCAATAAGCAGGACGCATTCCTCTACCATTTGGCAACCCGCAACCTATTCGCTTGGGTTTTCAATCGTTCGGTTGTCGGGGATCACTTGGGTACCGCCCTGATCAACCTGCTGAGCAGCATGTCTGAATTCAGGAACGATGATGAGGATCACGTCGGTGACCTATTGGATTATCTGGACGAAGAAGGATATCTCGACATACGCAACCAGCCCATCCACGCACTCGCCCTGCTGAGAATGGCTGAGACATTTCAGATCAGAGACATTTTCACTGATGCGTTCTGCCACTGCGTTGGAATGAGTGACCGTTTGCCCTCAACCCCAGAGTGGCAGGTATGTTCGACCCTGAGCACTCGGTGTGTATTGCAAGTCAAATACTGACTCCCCCACAGCTTGTCAGTTCACCAACAAGACGATCTATCCGACGCGCAAAAGCCGACATGGACGCCAGACTCAACAAAGCCAGCTCGATGCTGCGTACCTTTCTCGAAGACGAGCTTTCTGAAACTCATCTAGGCCTCCCTGCTGGAGGTCGAGCTCACATGGAGCGATTCCGCTCTTTCCTTCTCTCTTTTTACAGCACCAAGCTCGGATACTATCCGCCAACGCCGGCCGATGGCCGGAGCTCAGCATTTGAGCCCGAGATCTATCGCATCATGTGCGACGATTTTGAGGCGCTATACGAACTGCTTGTAAACGACAACTTTACTTCAGCCGGAAGCATCCCACTCCTTGCTCAAGGCGGCATCTGCGCGGTTCAGAGTGTCCACGCCTTCGATGCTCGCTACGATTTCAAGTCTCTCGACCACCCCCTGCCGCTGCTTCCTGAAGTTCCGACAACGCCCACCAGCCGGAGGATCCCGTGGCTGTCACGCAGTGATAAGCTCAAGCCCGACAATCGACTCGTCCTACATGCCGCCCAGGTCAAGGCTTCGAACCACGGCAAAGTCGACATATTGCGGAACGATCTCGTGCGCGCCTATCGCAAGTTCGAGGAGCAATCCGTGGCGCCTCTCACCAAGGTGGACCGCAATGAAAAGATCAGCCTGGTAGACGTGCGAAAGGTGCGATGGATTCTGGTATACGCCATTTACCAGGTGCTCCGCAACTGCACCGACGTTCCCGATGAGGTCAACGACATTGATGCGGACTACAACCTGGCCGTGTCGCCGGATTACCTCCCTTCTTGGAACGAGGAAAATGGAGTCCTCGGCTACCAATCCAACAGCACCAGTGCTATCTCATCTTCCGCAGTTTCCATGTGCAGTCCGAGTGCAATGGCGACGCCGACCGAGTTCAAGATTGAGCCGGACATCGACTACTTCACCATTCACCGCGACGAAGAGAAAAAGGAGAACAGAAGATCAATGATATCTCGTGTTAAGAGCACGCCTCCTCGTGCCCTGAGCATTGGCAAAAGTATTTCGCGGAATAGCACTATTCGGCGGTCCATTAGTATTTTCAAAGGCTTCCACGGCCCGGCGGAACCAACAGAACCGACTCCCAGAAAGTCATCGTATCACGAGATTGTGGTCCATGGCTATGGCAACGGTACCAACTCGGTTAACATGAACGCCATGGTCAAGACACCATCGCCGATCTTGATGATTCCCCAGGGTTCCACGGCAGCTAGAGCCCTGTCAACGTCATCGAAGAGCAGTATCGAGTCGACCGCCGACAGCAACGGTGGCTCTGTCGACACCGCAGCATCGTCGGCCCTCCGACAAGCCCGAGACTGCACTCGCAATTCCTGGCGGCCGCGTCAACGAAGAAAGCTCCACCCCCCATCCTTCAGTCCGATCCCGATCC